TTAAAAACAACAGAAAGCATTCACTTTTCAATCCTGCTAACAGTACATGTACGAGTGGGGCCTTGCGGGATGATTGGGCCTAGGATGGAAAATCTGCTTTGTTTTAACAGCAGAAGAAAGATGCTGCACATGAAGTCAGAGCACACGGAGTACTTCCATTTAGAGCCTCTGCAAACACCAGATGAATATTAACAACTTGATTCAAGTCCATGGGTTATATGTAATTAGGCCAAAGCCAGCAAAAAGACAAACAGTTCTACACCTTCAAATGAATCCTTCAGCTTGCTAACAAAAAGCAATTAAGTTGCCTGCCAGTCTACAGCGAGGCTCCAGGGCTGATTTCACACTCAGGCCTCTTGCTGCATGGCAGTATCACAGCACATTGTTGCTGCAGTGCATTTCCCTTCGCTTTCAAATGGGAATCTATTGGGAGTCCTCCACAACCCTTACAAATTCTAGAGGCTGCACCCAGCGTGGGGAGTCAGTCCTGCTCCTCAGAAGAGGTGCTGCAGCCACCAGGAGGGAAGTGGGGAGCAGTGGAAAGCTGACTGTCTGGATGTCACAGAGAAACTGGGTAAGTTCAGGAGAGTTAGTGATTTCACTTCATTATTACTGATGATATGAGCGAGTTTCAAGAGCACAGGGAGAGGTGTGGATGAGTACAGCTACACTGCAGATTCAGAAAATCTGAACATTACCCACACCTAGAGCACAGGGCTGTGCATCAGGTGTGAGGAGCAGCATGTGAAGGGCTGGCTCAAGCACCTGAGGGCCATAAAACTGGGGAACAGATAGTGGTACTTCATTCAGCTTGCCAACCAAAAAAGAGGCATTTAACTCGCTCTTTCTAGAGCCCAGTTGTTTTGTTACTCCATAAAAAGCTCCCAGAGATATTAATCCCAACTCATACAACAAGAGCATAATTTCATTTCCTGCTGTAACACAGAGTTCAAAAACAAACACATCTCAATTTTGACTAAGAAATTTAAATTAATGGTGCTGAAACAGAGCTTACAAGACAAATACACCCCGATGCTTAACACAGCTTGAATATTAGTCTGGGCTTTAGAGCTGGCCTTACCTCTACAGTGGGACAACCTACCACCCCACATCCTGCTGTGTGCAGAGACTGTCCAGCTGTGTATTTTAAACTAAGTTTTGGGATTTGTAGAATTCTTTCTGAGCCAAAACACCAAGAGAAAATTAAATGTACAGAAGTAACACTTTCATTTGCATGCACAGCATTAGTATTTAAGGACGATTTTTCCCAGACCTGCTCTGGTGTGATGCTATTTCTGAGGCATTTAGCATCTCTGCTCTTTCCTAAAAGCAGAGGAAGCTGCAAGGGCTTGCATCTCTCCTAAATATGTCAGTGGGATGCTTAGTGCTGCAGTGCAGTTGTGTTCCACTTAGTGCTCTAATCCACCTGGAATCCAGATCACAGCCCTATCGTTTTCCTCCAGAACTAATCTTAATTCCCGTTCTTCCATCAAACTTGTCCCCATTGTTCCTGTGGCTGTACAGTCAGAAATGTTGGTACAGTTCCAGTGAGTAATTCTTGTGTGACTTCCCAGAATCTCATGGATCCATAGGGAATATGCTTTCAAAAAATACATATTATTTATAGATTAAATCCGGGCAAGATGCACCTGCACCACTCTACATCAGAAAGGCCAAAACACCCCTGTGCCCTAAGACCATAGGAGATGTGCGTGCTTGGGTGTCAGCAACACCCACAGTCACATTATTCTGAAAACATTACAAACTAGCAGGAGGATTCTATAACTTAAGAGACAGCAATTTTATGAGAAACAGTCTATCACATAAAATCTCCTCATTATCCACTCTGTTACTGTACGCTGCTCATGAGTGATGGAGCCACCTGGCTTCTCCCAGATAAGTCCCACTGTCCTTCCTCTTGTCATCATGACATATTTCTCTTGCATTCATCAGATGATGGTATTTCTGTCACATCTGGAAAGGTATTCTGATGAGAGACCCAGCAGTGCATGACATCCACTTGCATTCTGTGCTGCTTGCATAGAAAATCCTGATCCTTACAAATTGAAACAGCCCACAATGCATGTACATCTCATTGTGCATGTGGATTTTGTTTACTTTTCAGTGAAATATAATGTCTCCTATAATCCACTACTGACAATGATTTGGCAAAAACAAAAAACATCGTGTATGAAAAAAAGTCAGTATTGAAATTGCGTTAGGGTATCCCTAGAAAAGTATGTTTATTGAAGTCTGAAATAGCTTAGAAAAAATTTAAAAAAAAATGATTGTGGAACGATTCTTCCTCCTGTGAGTCAGGAACTCCTCCAAGCTCTGTGGATGTTTTACTCTTTGCTTGCCTTGCTCTGCCTTGCATAGATTCCCAGCGACGTCACGCTGTGTGCATACAGCTCCTAACAAACTCCCAGGCCCTACCTCTTGTACTGGGCAGGCATGATGAAGAGCAGGGAAAGAACAGCCCAGATTCTCCTTCCTCTGATCTCACAGCAGAAATTCATGTATATATGAGACAATAGAGAAAAGCAAACCTGAACAAAAGCTGCTGTGAAGTGAGTGACAGACTTGTCCCTGGGAGAAACAATACTCACACAGCAGCATTACCACTGGTCCATTAACAAGTGGAATTAATTGACATCTCCTGACCACTCCACTGTAGGAAAATGAACAATCAACGATGCAGTTCACTCTCATTCCTGATGCTTAGCTCGTTTTCTTTCTCTGCAGTCCTGCATGGGGCAGAAGCTTTTCTCCTGATGTATTTTAGGAGACCTTCACCCCACTCCAAGGGTGACGTGTCTCTTCTCCTCCTCTCTCCCTGGAATGCCATCACTCAGTGTGCATTCAGTGTGATATAAATATCAGGAGGAGGAAACGCCCTGTTCAGCAACCCGCCCAACTGTGATTCAGAAGGAGGTAGAGCTGACTACAGGAGGTTAAAAAATGACCTATGGTTGCAAAGCTCAGCATGTATTAACAATTCATTTTCTTTAGTGAAGAAATTAATTGATATTTGCTCTTAGAAGACACATGAAGCAAACTTGTCTCTGGGAGAATGTTATGAGCACACAGAAACATTAGTTTCAGAAAACAAAGCTTGAGTGCAATGTGCCAGCAGAGGCTGGGACTGACAGTCTCTTGTTTTCCCAAAGGTCACTGCTCTCAGTAGCAAGTGCAGTATGGCAGTGTAAGTATCCTGTAGCATTCCCACCAGCATTACTGTGAGGAGTTGCTTGTTTGCTAGGCTCTGCATCGTGGTTCCAACCTGTTACAGCAGTCTGACAGATATACTTTCAGATGTACCAGTATTAAGGTGGATGTAAGTGGGGTTGTCTCACTGCATCACTCAAATTATTCTGGGAAAAGAATGATGAGTGGTTTCTATTTCAGTGAATAACAAATACGTTCATTAATAGGCCAGACCAAGGTTCAGGCTTTGTGTCAGTGACAAGCCTATCTGATGACAATAAAGCAAGGGGAATGGGAGAAAATGCTGAAGAAACCATCTTTGTTTTCTGCCCCTCATTCCAGTCTCCCTGGAATGTGATGAGTAGCAGTGAACAAAGAGAAGGCACTTTAAGCACTGAAGCAGACTTATAAAGGAGTGATGCCTTTGTGCTAAGCTGCTTTCCTCCTTGTTTGGAAGGTCGAGGGGCCAGTTATTCTCGCATTCTTTGAATATGGTAAACATATTCTGTGATTCTGTGATTCTGTGATCAGATGTTCAAAAATATCACCAATTTGTCTGGGTTTGTACTCAGTTTCACCAAATAACTATGTCTGGGAGCCATGTGGATCAAGCAGGTAATCACCAGCAGTTGTGTAAGCTGTTCAAACAGACAATGCAATACTCTTCTTTACATCCTTCAGCCAGCACAGGAGTTCACCCATACGTTTACCCAGAGAAACTGAGAATGGAAGCGGAAGCAGAAGCAGAACTGGTGCTGTTCTTTTCCTCTGCTTTATGCTCTATCCTGTTCTAGAGTAAATTCAACAGTCATAGAATGCAGAGCAGGCAGTCTCTACTCTAGCTGTCCTTCTGAGTGACCAGCTGAGGACACAAACAATTTTCCTAACACCTGTTTCTGTGTACAGGTGATATAACTCTTCATCAGCTCACTATCTCTATGCCTACCCTACTAAGCATCAGAACTGGAAGTGCCCACTTGTTTATCTTAAGTGCTGCACACACAACTTTGAGCTTTGCTCCATACTGTTTCTAGCTAGTTTACCTAAAGACCTTTAAAATGCAGAGCCACGTTGCTTTAATTTTCTATCTGTTGACAGAATGAATTATAAAAGTACTGATTGGTTTTAGACACACAGAATGCAATTACAGTAGAGAAACAAAGTAGAATTCTGAACATTTGACTGAAGATAAGTTTGAAAATGGCTCCACGGCCAACTGGCAGCCATGAGCTGCCTCAGATCAGATCCATCCAGCACTGAGGCTACCCAGGAATCTCACATTACAGGTTTACAGAGTTAGCTGCCAGGAGACTGGTTGTGAGTTCCAGATGGAAACGATCTAATTTCAGTGGGAAGACTACGGAATACGAAATTGCACATTGGGTGCCCAATACATATCCCTTCAAATGAGAAAGCAGTAGCAGGAGAGAAGCAAAAAATATACCAAAAAAATTATGCAAGTTAGAACCAAATGTGTTAGGAAGTGGTGGGAAGGTTTCCCTTTCTGTGCCCTCTTTGCTCCGAAGTCAGTCAGCTGCTAAGGACAAGGTGATTGGTGAAGTTAGTTTACAAGAGAAGACAAGGGCAGATCACAGGTGATAAGCCTTTTCCAGATAAGAAACATTTATGCAAAATGTCCTCCACAAGCATGATTCAGTGAATAGAAATCCCTACCATTGTCTGTCAAGAAATTGGGGCAGCAGTCCTCAGCATCCCAGAAGAAACATGCAACCAGGCAAACAGATTAGGCATATAGTGAAAAATGAATGCAAAGAGAGAATTGGATAACTTACAGCAATGAGCTGATAGGAGTTGTTCATCATGGCTATGAGCATGTTCAGCAGCACGACAAGAGAGATGACGTTGTAGGTACCAAACATAGTGGCCCCAACAAACTCTGTGAACTCATGTCTGGCTTTCACATTGGTGACGTAGAGATTCAGCAGACCAAACACAGACCAGAAGAGAGACTGGAGGGTCTCGAACAGTCTGGAAAAACAAACAAACAGATTTTTACTTGGCTACTTTCTTCAGGGAAGTGGAAATCAATGCCTTTAGGAGCCTTGGATTTGTTGAGGTTGGGTGTCGCCTGCTGTGAGAGCTCTGCTGGTGGCATTGGAAGCACTCCATCACTGGGAGCACCAACATCAGGTGGGGAATGCACCAGCATCAGGAGCTGGAATGCCACAGAGCATCAGTGCAGTACAGAGCTCAGCAGTGCCCTTTATTCTGTCTGCACTCCAGCCACAGGGACCCACTGGCCACTGCATGTAAGAGTTGTATCACATCAATAAAATTCACCACCTGTTTGAGAACCATATCCATGTGAGATGCAACAGCCTAATTGCCATGAAGAAACTTGAGGTTCTATTCCTACTCTATACACATGCAAAGAACAAACACAGTATATTCCTTTTAATTAAAGTTGGCACAGAGTGTTAGTGTTACTGCTGTTATATATAGATATAACTGTTCAAGCAGTGCATGCATCATTAACATGTCTATAAACTAAATGCTTAGGGAGTCCATGCTTTAGTTCTGCATGACCGTAGTAGTTAAATAGTGCTCTATGACAGGGAATCAAAAGGCGAGAGATGCAAGAAATCACATCCACTTGAACCTTCTGCACTAGGACAGGCTGATAGCTTGTGATTACTTTGACTGCAAGTGAACCAGGCCAGTGTTCTAATACCCTGTCTGACAGCATTGCACGTGGCCAGAAACACTGGTTGTGATGGCTTGTTTGCGAAGTAGCTCCCACCCACCACAGCGCAGTGCCCTCAATATCATGCTGCAACAATTGATCAGTAATGACTCAGATGAAAGAGAGTCGTCACATTAATTCAGCTTGAGAGGTTTTCTTCATTTGAAGTCTTCCATCCATAGAGGAACTAGACCTGACCTCCCATGCTTTACAGCTGATGAGATCATCCCAGGTCTCTGTTTGCTTCAGCCAGAGACAAGTGACCTTTTGCAATCACGTCAAATACATAATCAGCAATCTAAATAATTGCTCTATTTGGGCATCATTTGTTTGGCTTTCAAAAATGTGGCATTTACATCATCAAAAAATGACATTTATATGCCTGTTTAAGAGTTTCCATTTTGGCCTAGGGTCAGTGGATATTTTTGAATGCTCTTACCAGAAAAATCAATAAAAATAAATTCAGATATGTTACAAACCAGGAATCCATTCTCCTGAATTCTGTGTGCATCTGTTCCATACATAACCCCATGCTTTATATGAGGATTTAGTTTCCTTATGTTTTGTGAACAAAGGTTTTCACTGGCCAAAATTATAAAGAGTCTTTAAAACAAAAATCCTTTCCCCCAGAAGTCAAGATATTGGGCTTATTAAATAAGCGAGGTAATGGTAAAATAAGGATGAAACAAAGAATGCTGAGCAGTTTGCTATTAAAAACAGTGGAGTAGTCACTGTCTTTTAACTTATTTTAACTACTGGTGGCAGAAGTACTGATTGCAGTATAGGCTCAGGAGAAACTGAGGTTCTTGTCATGGTTATATGAAACTGAAATAAACCTTCTGTGTGATTTGTGCTTTGCCTTGAATTCACAGTGTTATAACCATGAGTATTATTGGCCCATGTTGCACCCAATATATTTGCATGTAGGCATGTACACAGAAAGCAGGTGTAGACAGCACCTGGTTTCTGCAACTTTGAACAGAAATAAGACTTCGTCTTTTGTCCCTGTTTAGTAACAGGTGAGAACCACAATCTTTTTCACTAAGTGTTTCAGGTGGGGCTCATTCTACTTCTGAGAAAAGAATTTTGGTAATACAACTGCACTCTCCTGTCGACTATGTTTTGGACCTTAAGCAAACAGGAGAAATCTCAGAGCTCCAGCATGCTCCTGAGCAGCTAAGGAAGAACAACTACCCCCATCTCTGCCAGGAGCTCTCCCAGCTTCCTGCAGTCACTGCAGGGAAACGGCCCCAGCTGTCAGCTTGACCCTTCGTGAGAACGACCTCCCAGACAGTCAGGTGTAATGGCTTCTTCCTCCCCTTTCTCCTCTTCCTCTATCTTCTCTGTTCTTCATCTACCACGATCACAGTGCTAAACATACTTATAGATTAAGCAATAGACACTCCACTTTCTAAAGGAGGGTTAGGGCAGAGCACAAAACTTAAATTATTCATGACTTCACCTCATTGCTGTCACAAAGGAATATTACTTCTCCATGATCTGTGTTTGTGATGCCGAACACTTCCACACCAAAAAAACATTAAACCCTTCCTCTGGGAGTAATAGGAAATAATGCACCAGTAAATAGGTGTCACATTTTAAACAAGCTGTACAAACACGAACAACGGCCTGCTTTTCCTTCCCTTACAAAATTAGATCTTATTGTGTGACTGCCTAGAAATGCTGGTAGGAATCAAAGAGGACTGATTGAAAGCTTTTCACATTTTTTCTTCCATTAGGGATGAACTATGAGCACACTCAAGGCAACACCATCTCTGATTTGAATTCACTGCAGTCATGCTTGCTTTCCCCAGCACAACGGTGTAATTTGCTGTTTTGCAGGTTGCTCGTTCTTAGCCATTCACCCATGCTGTGCATCTGCTCAAGGGCCAAATGTCAGCTTGTACTAGGGGTGTTAATAATGACTATTTAAACTTTTAAGAACACGTTAAATAAATTTCTTAAGCGAGGCGCCAACAAAAAAGTAACTGCAGAGCATTCTGTCCCCTGCCAGGAGACCTCAGTCCTAATGGATCCCCTCCCACTGCGATTCTGTTTTAAACAAACCTCTGTCATAAAGGCTGAGCCCCCTCAATTTCCTTCCTGTGCTCTGTTCTCCTTGGCAGGGGGCTTAAACTGAATGCTAGGGTGGGAGAAATTGTGGTTTGTATTGAAGCGATCCATACTCCTCCTGGTAAGTGGTTCTGTGTCATTTCTAGTTCCAAAGATGTTGTGCCTTCTTACTGACTTAAAGATCTTTTTTTTTTTTTTTCCCCTTTCTGCTGAACAAATGCTCTTTTTCTTTTTCTTTACTCAGATCTGTTGCTTCCTTCACTAATCTGCCAACACTGAAAACTAGTTGTAGTGGAGACAGGTCCAAACTAGAATGCAGAACTGGAACACATCTGTTTACTGTCGCTCTGGGGAAAGGCAGACTCCAGTCCTGAACTTCGTGGATTTGACCCTTCCTGAGGTAGAAGCTGTCACTTAACAAACACGGTGCCAAACATTTCTCCCTCTGGCTACTGCATCAATATAGATGTAGATAAAGAAATAGCATTTGTTATTTAATTCCTTTGCAAGGGCAGCACAACGCATTTCTGGAGCATTCAAAGCAATTAAGACAGAAAAAAGACTGAAGTCTTTAATTCTGTTTTTCATTAGCACAGTGCAGTTCCATTCACTTCCTCCAGATATAGATGAGTTTAATGAGAAAGTTAATCAAGTCTGTGGTGTTCCTGCTCTGCAGTGGAGAAGAGCAGCATGGCTGGCCTACCAGGACTCTCTGGTCAAGAGGCTCTTGTAAGTTTGGACTTTATCCCTCGAAAGTCTCCCTCTTCTTGTAAAAATGGAGCCTACAGGATAGTGCCAGAGCCTTTCCTCTTCCAACCTAGTCATGTGGCCTAAGCTGTCATTTGCTTTTGATAACAATGCAGTGTCACAAATCCTTTCTTTAACCTCCAGCCTTCAGCTGAAGAAGAGTGGAGAATTATTGGGCATGATGACAAGTTTTATTTAATTTTGCCTGACGTGGTGGACAACAGTTTTGTTTTGCTTGCTTGCAGGGCATAGGCCCTTTTCTAGATGGTGCTTTATTTAATTTCTCTTCCTGTTGTGTGTTAAGTACTGTGCAAGCAGCAAGAACAATTGGAGGGGGGCTGATTATTATAATTATTTCCACTATTAGTAATTAAAACAAATAGATCACAGAGACAATTCATGTTATTTTTCAGCATGTGCTATCACTTTCAGCCCTGCCAGCTGTCATCACAGCAATTTCCATGCCAGCATCTCAGTAATGTACTAGTATTTGCAGCAGAATTGATTTTGATGTGATTTTAGTCTCACCCCGCTGCAAGAGAATCAGAGGAGCCTGCAACATCATGTGTGGATAAAAATGGCCTAGATGAGCTTGTTGTTGTTGCTCTGCTACATTATTTATTAATACAGCTTTTTCCTACATTCATCTCTTGATTTCTACGTTTTGCTTAGCTTTCCCTCCTTTCTTCCAGAATAAGACAAAACAGTTGTTGCAGCGAAAGGATACCTGCTTTCTCACATGCCAAAATTGAACGCAGCAGTAATAACATTTCAGTTGCAGGATGATGCAGAGAGACTCTCTGGACCAGAACTAAAATGATTGTCTCTCACTTCCAGACCTAAGAGGCTTTCTGACAGCAAAGCTCAGCAGAATGTCTGCCCCAGTTAACTCACACCTTTCCTGCACAGTCAAGCAGCTCACCTGATATTTACAAATGAATAAATAAAGTTACTTTTGGTGCAGTGATACACAGCATGCAAAGGCAGGTAAGACAGGGGACAGTCAGAGTTGTCCTCAGAATCAGACAGGAAAGAACATCTTACGTGGAGAAGGCATTGTTCTGTTTCTCACATCGGATCCCCTTGCAGTTGTTGGGTTCCTCCGAGGCACTGGTCTCATAATAAAAATAAAGCTGGTTCAGTCCATTGGCAAAAGCCAGAAGCACCAGACAGTAGATAAAAAGGAATTTAAGGATGTCTAGCAGCATGCGTCCCAGAGAAATCTGCAGGGGTCCCAGGTGTGAATTTGCTGTAAACAGGGATATGAGACGCAAAGAACTTAAAATGTTGGATATTGCAAAGAGGGCTTCTGCAATGAGAGTCGGGTGCCACATTTCCCATTCCTCCCTTGGACGAGAACCGTTGTACTGAAAGAAATAACAAGGGCATAAAAGTGAATTACGCTGTACTCATTTTGAGATAAGCCTGAAACTCAAACCTACTAATACTAATGCTTTACCTATGTATATTACCAGACAAAGACACAAGAAGTACTTTTCAACTCTAAGTATCAGTATCCCACTATCATTCAGGATTCACGACTGAAGCTGAGTTCATCAGAACAGAGCTTTTTAATGAAGTCTTCTTATGAAATCCCCTACAGATTTAGACTGTTCTCTAGAGATATTTTTGGGATATCAGCTTTTCTCTGGGGGTTTCTGGTATGTGGGCTGTACTTAGCTAAAGTTTGATAACAGGTCTTTTGAATTGGATAATTGTGGGTAATTCAGGTCCTTGCATGGATATATAACATCCTTCTCTTATAACATTTAAAGGGGTTCTGACTGCTCCTTAGTAGGTACAGATCATTTCCAATTACCTTTTTTCTCTTTTTCCTCCTGAATACTACCACACCTTTGAAACACTGCTTATTCCAGGAGGAATGTGAGAGAGAGAGACAGAAAGGAGGGAAGAAGGCAAGCAATGAAATAAGGAACATAAGAAATGAATGCTTTCCCTCTGTCAAAAAAGCGCCAACAGCCTAGAACCAAAACATGTTCTTCATATTAATTTTCTTATTAATTAATTTGCCATGGCAATTTTAGGAAAGTTGCTTAGGCAGAGGTCATAATTACAGCCAAAATACTGGATACAATTGAGTGCATCAGTTATAAAATTAACTTGGTTTGTAATGCAACTGTAAAAGCAGAAGCATTATCTGAGATAGCCAGATGTAAACAGGTAACATGAAAGAGCTGGTTGTATAAATGCAACTTCTCTGGCAGTAGACAATGGAGTTCAAGACATTTTAACATCAAGGAATAATTTATCTTTTTTAGCATTTATTTCTGCTGATTTAACACATAAAAAGGCAAAAACGTACTTAGAATTGTATAGCTAATACTGTAGCCAGAATGTTTAGGTCTCTAAAAACTTTTAAAATACTTTTTAAGAGGAAATGGTATCAATATATCACTGGCAGATGAGTTTGTAGGGAATTCCCATTTAAATCTGAAGGTGCAATACATGAATTCACATTTTTTTCAAGGAGGCAACAAAAAACAATAGTTTGAAACTGTTCTTCCATATGCAGGCACTGAGACATGATAGAATTTCAATGTGACGTGAAATTTCTGAAATTTCCAAACTGTTCATTATTCCATGAACATAACAGCCTGAGTTTGTTAACTTGATTTGAAGATGGGTCTTAAAACGTTTACGAACAGGTGGACATTTTAAACTTTTCAGCCAATAATCAACAGGAATTACTGGATAGATGTGATCAGCAATCCTCTCCTTCCTAGAGGGAAGATTTGCACAGTTTCCTTCTGCATGCTGGCTGGACACATCAGCCCTGGGGCTCTCTGCCAGGATAGGGTGCATGTAAAGGAATGTGAAAAGGTCTTCATCTCACATCTATTTTTAAAGCAATTTGCTAGGATTGTATTTTGGCTCTTTATAAATGGATGGTATATCCTTGCTTGGAAAACAACAGTCACTTCTGAACAGGCAACTGCAGGTAGCAGAGAAACTGATTTCAGAGTTATCTAATGAAAAGGCTGGAGTTGCTCAGGTTAGGCTTCAGAAGATGAAACACAAAATATACAGAGTAGTTCAAACAAGTTATAACAGGCAGGCATATTTATCCTTCCTCATTACATGATAATTCAATGCAGAAAATGAAAACTGATTAAGAAAGTATTTTTACCCTATAATTAGACTGAAGATTTCATTGTTACAGGACAATATTGAGGCCAGGACTTGAAACCAGTCAAATCAGGGGAAAAAAAAAGTCTCCACATAAGAATTAGGATGGAAAACATAACTGTCAGTATACAATTTATTTTTCTGATATTTGGCAGAAAGTTAAACGTCCATGTAATCCTTTGGAGTTCCAAGAAATGTTAGACTATGGTATACTGGCATATATACCACCCATTTCCAGCCCTGGGCTGTTCTATAAATAACAAAAACCTTTACAAGTCTTGTTGCAAAAGACTTTGAAGCCATTATCAATGTTTTAAATCCTCATGTCTCAGAGCATACTGCAACCTTTACTTGACATAGGTCAGAACTTCTGTGGGCATGCTGTTTCAGAGCTACCACTGTAGAAGGTTTTAAGCACTTCTCAGTATTGTTTGACATTGGTCCTTATCACGACCAGACCTTAGGTTAGCCAGGCTTAATTCAAGTGGGACTGATCTGTACTCAAACAGATATATTCCTGTAATTATTCTGTATTCTTTTTTGTACTGATGTACAGTTCTTTGTAGCTAGCTTGTGTGTTTCTGTAGTCCTTACAAAGTATATAAATGAAACTGTACTTCCTTTGTATGTCTGGTTTGGCTGTAAGTTTTATATTTCAGTGTGTGACCATATAAGTCTGTGGATGCATAGCCCTTTTTTAGTAATTTGTATGTGAGAGAGAGAAATAACAAGATTGTTAGCATTTTAGGATTTGTCTGTGCGTGCTACAATTTTCAACATTTTCTGTATTGCTCACAGATTAAAGACCAGCCTTTCAAGGCTCTAATTTCCTCACTGGTTCTGAATGCCAGGAAAAAAAGATGTGATCTGTTTTTGCTTTGATCCTGTAACAGAGCTGCTTCTTCAGGGAGTAGCAACTGTCTTGAAGTTTTTCCCTTGAAAAACTAACTCACCACCATACAGCCTTCTGGATTTTCAATAGGCCCCAAAACAATACAGTTTTAAAGCTCCAGCATGTTTCTTTGTCATTTCCTTGCCTACAAATTAAACCTTGAATGTATATTCAAGAGAAGAAGCTGACTACTTTACATCAGATGGAAACCACCTACAAGCAGGTGTGCTCTCAGCAGACTTTTCACAGACAAGTAATCTACAGATCATGGGTCTCAGTGACTATAGATTATAAATCTTGGTTGTAGATGCTTTCAGATAACCCTATTCTTCTTGTTCCTTTATTACTTTATTCAAAAATCACGCCTTCATGAAATTTAGCATTGTTGAAAGAGATCCAATGTCAACATGGAAAACAAAAGGTATCGTTGGCAACTGAGTAGCTACAAAATGGACAGCAAGTGGGGAAACTTCCACCCAGTGCCCAAACAATCTAATTCAATATTAGTCAAAGAGTAGTGATGGGAAGGAAGGTCATTCTCTATAGAAATTTATAAGCTTTCCAGGTGAATCTTCAAATCTGAACTGCTGCGGTAGCAGCAATTCTCATACGTCTGTAATTGTGTGCTTGACAGTTTCTATCCTGTATACCACAGTTCTCACAAACAAATTACAAATTCTCTTTCCCAAGTTACTGTACCTTGACATAGGCAACAATTTTAAGGGAGATAGTTGCAAGATAGAGAGAGTTCATTGCAAAATCCATCAGATTCCACCAGTCATGTACGTATTCATTGAATCCACCGTCCCACATTTCCTTGATTTCTCCCCAGATAAAACCTGTTGAAAGAAAGAGAGTTCACTGTCATGAGAAGGTATTATTTTCCATTAAAGCACTGTGTATATGTGATGTGGTACAACTATAAATTAACTGTTTGGAAAGAAATGCCTCATTCCTTTTGTCTTCTAGAAGGTAAAACTGTGCTGATTATGAGGCATTTTACAGCTCCATTAGGAATGCTATCTAGAGAGATATGAGAAAGACCTAGATTTCCTATGTAGGGCTGCAGATACAAACACAAGGAGACTATCTGAAACCTGAAGTTAGTTGTAACTACCTGGAGTTAATTGTAACTAGCATGAGTGGATTGACTGAGATAAAATTTGTTTTATATGAATAAAGTATTTAAATTAGTGTATTTTTGGTATAGTTTTTCTGCATTGTCTGCTTCCACAGTAATCTGTGGCTCAGATGCACAGTACAGATTTTTTCTGACTTTCTCTGCAGAACATGCAACACAAGTATACCAGCTTCTGCATACCAGTATATTCCCTCCCTGACCTGGGAATACCACACCAGAGATCAAAGAAGTGAATTCATTCACTACGCTCAGTCATTGCATTTATGCATCTTGCTGCACAAAAAGCCTAGGGACTATTTGTGGGGGGGCAAAAAACAAAACAAAACAAAAAGGTATGGCTCAGCATGAAAAAGGGCACTGCAGCTTGGCATCATATCCCTCAGCAGTGAGTCACCTAATGCCAACCATGGCTATGGGTTTTGTGAGGTGAGAATTTGTTCCCAAAGGTATGGCCAGAGCCCATCATCTTTACTCTGAAATGTCTTCTGGTAATAATTGGTAGCGTTTGCTAACCTTCACTTTACCTCCCTGCTGCTAGAGGGGTAAAACAGTGAGCTTCCATAGCTCATTATCAGACTGCTACCTGGCATAACATTATGATAAGTCACTTACATGCCCTTTATTTAAGATATATTTAAGTACTTTTAAGAGCCTAAGCCCAATTTAAAAGCAAATGGCAGCTAAGCTCCTAGGTCACCATGTTTCTGAGCATGTCCTTAGAGCTCTCAGATGTTTTGAAATAGCCACTTTACAATATCCTTGAATGAAGACCTGAAATGCACATGAAAAGAGAAAGAACAAAATACACATCAAACTGTACTACCTATGCAGTCACTCAAATATCTACCCATGCCCAACCACAGCATACTGCAGTGGTCAATGAAATGCCACTCCCAATTCATTTTTAGGATCTGAAAGTTCAATCTGAAGAGCAGATAATGTTGAAATGAACGCTGCAAACATTCAAATATCAGTCTCAGCCCTTCAGCTTCCAGCCAGCAGGTCAGTGGGTCAGGCAAGCATAATGTCAAGGCCAATAAGGTAATTTTATTACAGCTGCCTCCAAATCTTTGCATGCACACAAAAACATAGAATAAATCAATGGAGAGGAGTCTGTTGAAGAACTCATACACTGTATTTATAGTGAGTTATCACTGCTGGTTACTATAGTTACAGCAATGCTGTGTGTGCTGTTCACTCTCTCTCCTTTTATAGTGGAAGATATTTCATAAATAATTACCTTTAATCGGGTGAAACTGTTCTAATTTCTCCATGCAATAAGCAATCCCACAATATCCCTATTTATCTGAAACAAAGGAACTCAAAAGTAAGAATAGAAAACTGTAGCAGGCTATTCTGAAAGGCTTTTTTGTATGGATTATCCTTTCATCTGCACATCAATTTTGCTGAAGTGCCCACCATTTCCTTCAATTTAAACCATGAAGTAAAGGATAAAATGAAGAGATCAGCTTAGTTCAGAGAAGACATTTAGCTTTCTCAGCTTATTCTGAAGTTTCTACCAACACATACATTTCAATGCCATAACTTAGTTTAATGAGATAATGAGGCTTGAGTTACCTTTTTTAAGTTGCAATGAAACTACACAAAGAACAAAATGCCCTGTGTCATGATGGAAAGTGATTTGTGAGCATGATCACAACTCTTTTTTTTCTTTACGCATTTTCCATCAGCACTTGTAGCTTTGGCACAGTGAAGTCCATTCAGCACAGAACCCACTTGCTGCTGAGCCACCACAGACAGGAAGAGCTGGGTCCTGGTGCTAGCCCAGGAGAGGCGCCAGCAGGGAGAGTAGAGGTGGACACATAAGAAGCAGTGAGGAGCCACTAGGAAAGCTCTGGAGATGGAGGTTTGCTGAGAGAGATGCCCCTTACCGTGCTGTCCACAGTGCACAAACATGGCTTTCCAGGCCCTTGACCCCAAGTATAAAACCACAGCTCACTAATAACTGGCTGGGGTTTGTGAACTGAGCTAGAGTGCACAGAAAGGCTGGAAGAGAGATAGGAGGGCATGAAAACCGTTGCCCCAAGTGTGCCTCATAGTGTCACCTCAGCTCTCAGTGGTGCTACATGCTAATGGCAGAGCAAAGGAGATGGGGGCTTAAGGAGAGGAGAGATGATGTTCCTAAGAATCCTAGGTTTTCACCTTCTGTTGCCTTTGAGCTCAGTTTGAAAGGATAAATACACCTTATCAAAAATGCACCCAAATTTGCTTCTCTGCTCTTCTCCTCCAGTGGCTTTATTTACTTTTTCCCATCTCACCTTGCTACCTCCTCACCCGTGCATCCTGCCTTTGGGGTCCAGGCACTCCATGTTCTTCACAGTTCTACTTGTCCAAGCCAGAACAGGTAACAACCTCAGGTTTAACCTGCTGTATTAGATACCCCTTCTTCTGCCTATATTGGAGTGACTGATACTGATTTGTTCAGTGTATATCAGCACAGAGGCATAAGGCAGAGTGAGATTTATCTTCCCTCCTCTGCTATCCCGTGGCCCAGGAACAAGCAGGGCAGGTACGTGTGTGCTGACTACCAGAGCACATCAGCAAGAAGGCAAAAGCCTTTGGAAGCCAGCAGAAGGAAGCCAGCATTCAGGCGCCTTTATTTGATACTACCATGACCCAGTAGCTAATTCTTACACCCACTCCTTGCACAGAGGATGTGGGAAGCAGGGAGAGAGCTGTGTCTGTTCAGGTTTACTCAGGGTCATCTCTAAAGGCATGTCAGATGGCAACAAGGACAGCAGAAGAGCCCAAGGCGAACAAGATCTGTTGTACCAGAAGGAGCCCAGCTGTTTCATGTAGCTACTGAAGCTGGCTGCCAAAATCTCTTTACATGATGATGATGCTGAGATCAAGTCTCCATACAGTTGCCATGGGTGCAAGGCAGGAGACTGCAGGTCAAGCATTCTAGCGTTCCTGACTTACCTAGAACCCAGGGCAGGATCATCCACTCCACGATGGTGGGAGGCGGTCCCTGCATGTGAAGGTCAGTCCTGACGATATGCTGAGATGCCAGCAGGAGCATGAAGAGGAAGGTTAGGTATGAGCCAGTGTGGCAGATGAACTTTATAAATGGCTTTTTAATGAACAGTCCCAGCCTGCTCTTCGGTGCAATCAGATATGCCACAGATAGCACAGGGAATAGCAGTCCGATGGTGACACAGGTCAAGAGTTTCACTGCCCAGTGTTTCCGCCTCCAGCCTGGAAAACCATCATACCAAAGTGTTGCTAGTAGCTGCTGGCAGTTTGGCTGAGCAACAAACTGAGAAGGAAGAAAAAAGAAAGCTTATTACTGACTGATACTTCATGTGTGCTCTTCCTTATCTTACAGAGATCCTTATACAAAACTTTGGGCTGGGTATGGGGTAGAACTCCACTCTTCTTTTCTACACAAGATTTAATATTTCTTCTAAGAGATCTTTTCTATTTGAGTCATCATTCAGTATATCAGGTACTCACGATATATAAAGCCTCATCCAAAAGTGATACAACTAAAATTACTATGAGCTTTTTCCCTTCTTATGGTTTTCCTTTCAGAACATTTTAGGTTTCGACAGTCTCAAACAAATCACTGTCAGCATCTTTAAAAAGTGACTAAAAGAGAAGTCAGGAGGGAAAAGATGGAAAGCTCCAAGCGTGTGCATGTGTGCATGTGTTAGAGAGAGGGAGAGAAGATGTCTACAAAGCAGGTGGGGTGCTGCACATGATTTTGTGCAAGGACTCCAGCATATGTGTGTGTGGGCTGGGCTGGGCATGAGACAGCATGCAATAATGTAAAGTTCAGCCAGGTGACATCTGCTGAGAAGCAGGACAGCACATTTGTAAACGTGTCTCGTTATTAAGGAAGAGAGCAATTGTAAAATGTAAGAGATTAAACAGAAGCAAAAAGAAACCTTTGATCACAGCAGCAAAAATGACATTTGAAAGTTTACTTTCTCTCTGTAAAAAAAAACAGCTTTGTGTTGGTGATATATTGCATTTTGGTGACTCAATTCAAGAAGTGCTCAGGTTGCAATTCCTGACTGTTTTAATACCTTACAGCCCTTGGAATTTCAGACTCAAGCCAAAATATTTCTGGCCTATGCCAGAAAACTTATGTTCTTGATTATAACTAGACAGCTCCACGGTTTTCTAAACTTTTCAGACCCACAGCTAATTAGAGATGTCTGCAAGATCAAGAGGGCTGCATTTATGTATTGGATTTTTAACCCATATTAATGAAGTTAAGCAGTGACACAGGTTGCCCTGAGAGGCTGAAGAATCTCCGTGGAGATCTTCAAAGGCTTCTCAACATGGGCCTGGGCACCTTGCTCTTGTGGCTGTTGGAGCGGGAGCATGGATGGCACCAGCTGGACCCAGAGGTCTCTTCCAGTTTCAGCATTTCAGCAGTTATCCTTTCTGAACTCAGATTTCTGACTGTGCTCTGCAAGTTTAAAAGCAAACTTCTCTTTTCAGGATACCTGTTATTTTTGCCGTAATTAAGTTTAAAACAAACAAACAGACAAAAAACAACTGTTTGAGCATGGATACAGTTATCAACAAAAACAATGCTGTCACAGCATCTGTGACAGGACATGGCTGTATCAAAAGAATCACAAAAGAATCAAAAGAATTGACTGTAGTACTAACAGCATTCATCAAGAAGAGACCTCCGAGTAACCTGAAGATGATACTACTGTTTATTACACTTGGCTCATACATATTTAAAAGGGTTCTCTGTGAGGGATGTAATGCTAACATGCTCTACATCCCCCAGCAGAGAAGCCAGATTTTATCAGCAAAGTACTCTTTCACCCCCATAATTCAAAGCAGCTCTTGGAAGGAAGATCCCGTGGTGGCAAAGGGCTGGATTCTGAATACCAGAGATTCCTTCTTAGTGTTCAACCCTGGAAGAAGCTCCCATGCAGATACTGTTCCCCACAGTGCTGACACAAGCCAGGGCTACAGATACATGGCCCTCCTTACCACATCTTTGGTTTGTGCCTAGAATTTGCCGTAGCTCTTAGTTACCTGAAGATCACATTCAGTGTCAAAGAGACTTCTTAATGGTAGTATCAGCACACACCTGTATCTTTTAAACATTCACTTGCTGTTAGAAGTGCTCAGTATTATTTAGCATGCATGGGGACTTTCTATACGCAATTCTCAGCACTCTGTACCAGCAGAGCACTATCACTGCCACGTTCAAAATGGGAAACCAACGTGAAACAGAAGGAAAAAAACAAGAGTTGCTCAGTATCAGAGGGGGAAAGGCAGCTGCAGAACTCATGGCTGGGGTCCCTCAGGACCTGATCCTGAAGCACAAGTCAATGGTGGAGTCCCAAGCTGCTGCTCTGACAGCAAGTAGTATCTGAAGGCACTTCTCCAGAGCTCCCACAGGACCTGAACACACAGTCTGGGATCAGCACCAGGAGCAATGTACAGAGAGAGGGGAAAAAATCAACCAACCAACTTTTCCTGCATCTCTTATGTGTTTCTCTATTTTTTCCTAGAACAGATTTTTGGTGTGAACAATGTTGTAAAAAACAAAATAGTATGTGACAGAAGTCAGGCAAACTCTGATGAAACCATTCATTTCTGCAGGTATTTTTTGATTTTGTGAATGTATCTTAAACGTTCTAACAGGCTGCCTGTATCATAATCACAGGTTTTGGTTTTGGGTACTTCAAAGATATGCACTGACCAAAATTAATACTGCAAACAAAATCTCCAGGAGCCATAGAAGGCATTTCTGAAGTTGGACATTTACACGTTATTAATACAATAAATGTGGTTGCTGCATCTCACATACAAGGGACACAACACTCAGTGGGCATGAGAAAAGAAAATAAAAGCGCGTCTGATTTGGGATTAACTTACACATACAGCAGAAACTGGACAGTAGCTGACACAGAGATAAACTCCAGAAAAAGCAGAGACCTGTTGCTCATAACTACCTGAAAGTGTGATGGTGAAATGCCAGACCTGGGGACAGTGATGAAAGAAACAATTCTACAGAAATTGAAAAGAACATCAAGCATTGATTCTCACTTGGTTTGTTGTTTTTCAATCTGTTGTTTCAGAAGGGTCAGGATGTTAGGTATAAAAGCAAGAAGATACAGAAGGCTACACTGCAATATTTTTTTCATTTAAGATCACAAACAGGAGCTGTGACCGCTCGTGTTCTGCAGTCATTTGCATGGTAACAGATACTGCTCTTTCTCATAGATGAGACATAACTTTCTGTTGAGGGGAAAAATGTATAAACGCATTTTCTCTTTATCACATATGATAGAAACCTTTAAGGGGAGAACAAACTGTTTTTCCCTTGAGTCAAAGTCAGAGTCATTTGAGAAATCAAATGACTATGTTCCTCTGGTTGCTGTGCAACTTGTGAGCATCTTAGAAGTGCCTCCTCTCTGCCTAATAGCTCATTTATAAAATCTGCTTTCCAAATTGCATCTGATGTTAGTTCTTCAGATGGAGAGAAATTCACACATCACGAAAGGGCAACTTTAAAGATCAGGTTGGCATAAGGCAACGGAAATGGAAAAAGCCATTAAATTTTCCAATCAAGCCCATCTCACCATCACTAAAAATGGCCTGGGGGAAATTTAAGCACACCACTCAAAAAAGCCCTCCTAATGTCATAAACCACCAAATGTTGCCATTATTAAAGATAAGTCTAAGCACTTACCAATGCAGGATTTTACTAACTCATCTTAATAAAACTCATTAATCATAGTGTTAAAATTAGTAAATACTACAGCTTAGCTTTCACGTGGCACAAAGACTACAGCTGGGTGAAATGCAGTGTTTTCAATCTGCAGAAACACTGCAATTATCTGGCTACTTCCCTGCATACTACTGTAAACATCAGTCTCATCTTTGTTTCTAGGTGCTGTTACCAGAACCCGTTGACCAACCCACTGAATGCTCAGCTCCTTAAAGATTGTCCAGGGCTAGTGAGGCTACATTAATACACATAACATTCAAAACAGGGAAAAGCTCATCTCTAGCCTTTTTTAGGTGTGAAATGGCCTGAAATTGTAATAGAATTGTGGAACTGTTGTTTTCATTCATAATTTGAAATTTATTTAGAAAGTTTAGGAAACAACCTTATTTTTATTTTGCAAATAGGTGAAAATGAGATCTGGAAAAGCAAGCTGACTTTTCCAATATCACTTATTTGAAGGCCTTTCCTGAATATAAGTTCTATCTCCACTAAGTATGCTCCCAAAGATGTTTTTTCATCTTTTTTCAAAGCCTTTTCATTTGCTGTAGGTAGAAATATTGTATATCACAGTCTTTTATCATTTCACATGAACATACTGTATGTGACAGGATTTGATATCAGCTGAAGTTTCTGTACTGTGAAAAGGGAATATCTTGATCATTTAAAAAAACTACACATTGTCCCAGTTTTGTAGGTGGCCCAAATCAATGGCAGATGTTCTGTACCAGGTGCTCTGTTTGAGGAGACGAGCATGAGTTGAAAACTGTATTTCTTCAGCACCTAGCAGGCAGGGCTTCTTCTCCGTTATCTGATGAGAAGAACCTGTGCTTAGCTGAAGTCATTCAGTGAGCAATAAGATGCAGTTCAGAGTACCTTCCTTGTGAGGACAATGCTGTTCTGCCACTAGTGGGCAAGACGTTTCATCTAGCCTCTGAAAATGGGGATAAATTATTTCATCTTTTCAAGAAGTGAGATCAACAACTTCACTCATGGTTGGGAAACACATTGAGGGCAGAAACTACTGCAGTATGAAGTCTTCTGTGTTCTTTCCTTTTTTCCTTTCAGTCCTGCCAGGCTGTAACATTTGGCTTGCATCTGGATTGTGCAATTAGAGAATTTCATTCTCAGTGTTCATCATACTCATTGTCACCTAATTCTCTACCAAGGGGAATGTTCTTAAGGGAAAACAGCAGCTGCTGGATGGAGTATCTTTTTCTTAATATCTAATCTTAACTGATGTTTTTATGTCACCTAAATTTTATTTCTTGGGAATTAAATGCTTTCTGCAAGCTGTGCCATTAATATAAATATCAAACACAGAAATTATATTCCACCCCCCCCTCCCCTTATCTATGGGGAAATCCCTTATCTCTCACAGTCAGAAGTAATTTAGGATCAGACACAGATGGGCTGAGATGTGAATGCCTCGGGGAGCAACTGAAATAGCTCCCTGATAGACATCACAGGGGCTGAGCACAGTATCTCTCTGCGTTTATTCTGATTATCGTGACGGCTGCCAACAGGCTCTTCTGTTTGGAGTTTGTTGG